AGGATGAAGCTTTTTAGCCCTTTTTCTGGGTGACGTTAAGCTGATTTCAACCACTTCATCAGCTGTATCTGTGTCAGACATTTTAGACTAATATTAAATTTCCGCAAGAAAAATCAAGTCAAGACGTGCATAAAACGTTCGCGCTCATAAACGGGTATCCGTAACTGATTACAATCCTGTGCATGGTGACGAACCATCAACGTGACGCTGAGAGTTCCCTCTACTATGCAGCGTTGCCAGGCTTAATGTCACAATGATCATGTTTTATTGGGAAAATTGTCAGAAATCGCCGAATGTTGAACAGAAACATTACAAGAAGTCTAACCTTGAAATGTGAGGCTACAAATCGATATTCTTATAGGGGGGAAGGGTAGGGAGCTGTTATGGTTCCTATTAACCTTGGTGAAAGTTGGAAACGGTAATATCATATATGGCATACATTCGGTTGAAGGTGTGTGCACGGAAAATAGATTGCGGATAGGATTTTAATAGATAAATCTGCACAAAAAGACACAAAAGGAGATTTTTGTATTTCCCTGAAGAATATCTCAAGGTTATTTCAGATGTACTCATCGAAACTTTATGGAAGGATTATCGAAACCTTATTTTCAATTGCGATAGGGCCACATACCTCGACATCGCATTAATGTGAAAAATAAGACAATAGAAAAAAATTCCCTCACTGATGCTATCTCTTAGGAAAAATTTAACTATAAAGATTGCACAAAATTTTCTTCACCTTTTTGAGCTTGTTTTCGCATCTCCGTATATGTCGTTCATAATTTGCTGCAGATCAAATTGGAATATACCTTTGTGATGCCATTTATTGTTATATAATGTCCTTTACAACAGTTATTGCATGTATTGCACCAACAGATTGATTTGTGATCCATGCGAATGTGATCAACCACTCTGGCGAAAACTCGCCGAGCGTGGCAACCGTGCGACTTTGTCTGGAGGCTCGTCGCTACAAGCCAATCAGGAAGAGGCCGGCAGAGCGCCATGGCTACCGATCACGCGTTGATCACGAATCAACCACTGTTTACGATTACTTTGTAGCTTCGTTAGATACACGATACACTTTAGAAAAAGTGCTCTGATGGGATCCGTGACCTCGTACTCGGGTTGTTCTAGACAACGTGGTGCTTCTATCTCTTTCTCACGCACGTATTGCATCTTTCTCGCGCTCCTCTCGTACACATTACGACGTCAGTGCTATCTGGTTTTCAGTGTATATGTATAAAATCAAAATTGAAAGAATTGGATTAAAATTCCATTCCATTTTTTCCGCTGTTGTTTTAGTTTGTGGCTCGTATTATCCCGTTGCATTTATTACCTTCACTCAGGTATTCAGAATGGTCATAAGTTCGTTGTTAGAACAGGTCATTGTAATAAAACATTCATTCAGTCCTGAAATTGAAAATCATCATTTAAAGATAATTTCGAATTCCCGAGTTTCGCGAAATTTCGACAGCCGAATTTTTCAACGAGTCAGCTTAGTTTGTGATTCTTACTGTCAAATTGATAGTCCTAATGGTATTGCGACTACCTTGCAAAACACTTTCTATTTCTGAATATTTGGGACTTTCTAGTAATAATTCAGCTTACAACTTAATTGTGAGGCAATATAGGAGCACGCAGAAGCATTGGATGAATCTCTTCTTTTTGAAACGTTCTTTATCGGTATAAAAATCCAGTGTTTCAAACCGGACTATTATTTGTTACTTGGAATTGCCTCATGTGGTTGGTTTCTAACATTTATTCTTTGTGGACAGTGGTCATAAATTCGTTGTTAGAAGATGTAATAGTAATAAAACTTTTATTTACTCTCGAATTCGAGAATCATTATTCAAAGAAAATTTCAATTTCAAATTCCTGACTTTCGAAATATTTTGACAGTAGAATATTTGATAGAATTTTTGACTTAGTTAGCTTGGTTTGTGATTATCATAAGTAATATCATAAGGGCATCCAACTTTTCCAAAAAAAAAAAAAATAGATGCTCGAATGGTATTTGACTAGATTATTTCATGAGTAACAGCTTACAAAACTTATTGACAATAGAATCAGAAAAATTGTTAGGCGTCGTTTTATTTTGTCCTAGGAGACCATAATTACTTGTTATCAAAGGTATTAATCTTTGGTGACAACAGCTGTCAAGTTTTGCCGCGGGAAGCTTAAAAAACTATTGACAGGTGCTGTCATACAATTTTTCCATCTAGAAACCATTTGTAATTCAAAATTGCGCATTTGTGATAGGTAGAAATTGAGACGAGGGGAATAATCACTGTAAATTGACAGTTTCAATGGAATTGAAACCTTATTGTCGTTCAAAGGTATCGCGTACTGTTACGGACCGACCTTGTAAAAACATTTTCTATCACTGTTTAGTAGGAACTTTCTAGTAATAGTGCAGATCACAGTTCACAACTTTGAAGTAACATAGCAATTTCCATTAATAAAGTATGGCCCAATCACTTTGTTTCCTAAAATGCCTGCCCATACATTAATTTTTGGGGGTACTGGGTATGCCCTTCTACAAAAGCTGAGGATTCTCATTGCTCCAATACCTGCATTATGCTTATTAACAAATCTATTTAGATAAAATGTGCATTCATCACTGAAGTAGATATTCTTTACATGAATGGTACTATCACTAATCGCAGCAGTCATTTGTTCACAAAACTCAACTCGCCTATCGAAATCATCTTCGGTTATCTCTTGCAATATTTTCGTTTTGGATGGATGAAATTTATGGAGTTTAGTAATTGTGTGTACAGAGCCTAATGAAATACCAGTCACAGCAACAATTTTTGTAATGAAGTATTAGGATTTATTCCAAAATGACCCAAAACTTCAACTTGAGCGGCTCCGATGATCACGTTTTTTATTTGCAACAGATTCAGTTTGAGTAAATTTAGTAACAAGGTCCAAAACATACCTATGCGAAGATATCTTCCGCGGATATCTGGCGTTAAATGTGACGGCAGTTTGCTGAGCGTATTGATTTTGGGCACCACAAATAAGAATTATTTCCACTCTTTCGGCTAGTGTGTAAACCATCTTGGAAGTTAAATCAGAACCAATAAATTAATTTTCACTATCCCAAAATTGTCACAAATTAAATTCTTTCTTCCTTTTAGCAACAATTAACTGAACAGGTATAACAATAAATACCAATCGCCTAGAATATCTGTGTTAATGAAAGAATGCGGAAAAAAATTCGGGTTGTTATTTGGTTGTTGCCACGTCTATTCTTCCCAATTGATGTTTATGTTGGTAGTTTCCGTTTTACATTATAAACGAGTTTTAGATTTGGCAAACCCTAACGGGGAACATTTTGAACACTTATTGAAATAAAAAGTGATATTTTCGAGTGTTGTTGTTTTCTATCTGAACAAATTAAGATACATTAAGATTTTTCTAATTTTCTCAAAAACGAAACGACTGATTTTTAAAAATCAAACGTCAAAAAAGAGGACTTTGAAGCACCTCTTAAACAAGTTATTACTCGATACCCCTTGTCACTTAAAAATTTTAAGGGAATGACCCTGGGGGCCGAGGGTGAAAGGGGGTGAAGTAGTTTTTGATTAAAAAGTTTTGACAAATCTTTTGACGTGTCTCGGCATTTTTTCTTTTAATCAGTGGTTTTTGATAAATGCGTGGTGGAAAGTTTTCAAATGAATATCCTGAATATGTGCATTTGTTTGCTTTGCAACGAAGGCAATATACTTAGAACTCGCGGGCGATTTGAGGACAGCTAAATCCTTAAACTGCTTTAAACGTTTTATCTCCCGTCGTGGCATGGGTAAAGAAATTGATAGCGACAATGGGAGAAACTTTGTTGGCGCGGCCAAGTAGTGGCGAGCGGTAGTCGGCTCTCTACGGAATGACATTTACTTTCGAAATGATTGCTTAGACAATTCAATTTCATGGACCTGCATTCCACTATTTACTCCACATCAAGGAGGACTTTAGGAAGCAGCCGTAAAATTTCGCAAATCTCATTTGATTGAAACAATCAAACATGGATATTTCACGTATGAACAATTGAATACAATTCAAGCAGTCCTAAATTCAAGACCACTCATCCCTCTGTCTAATGATCATGAAGATTTATCAATCTTGACCCCGGCTCACTTTATAATTGATGATCAACTCCTTTCAATACGCCAGCTGACTACAACTGCACAGAAGAATCGTCTAGTTATGTGCAATCTTTTACAACAACGTATCCAACATAATTGGCGACGTTGGTCCAACGAGTACCTTACCACATTTCGGTGCTGATAAGGGACCCATACCCGCCACCTTTTTGTTGTCCAGTAGGAAGAATCCTACATTTCCATCCAGGTTAAGACGGCGTTGTGCGTTTGGTGACTTTATCCACAGACTTTTTAGTATTTTAACCTTCAAATACGTATGCTGTTTACTTGTAGGTTATCATCAATCATCTAAGTTCAGTTTTAAGTATGTTCCTATTGAAATTATATTCTTCAAAGCGTGCGGGATCTGTTAAATAAATAAATAAAGAATGGTCATTATCCAACGGTTATGGAAACCATTTACAGGACAATCCTAAGAAAAGATAAATCTAACTTACAGAAATAGAAAACACACAAAAGCAGTTGATTCTATTTAAAGGGAAAAACAAACAATAAAAAGAAGCAAAAAACATATTTCAGCTCAAGTGAAAAAACATATGCTAAATTTATCACAATAATTGGATATGACATTGTTGGAAGTTTCACACATTACATATACGGGTGCTTCCTAAAATAAATGTGTGCTGTTCAAGCTGAAAGCCGCCCGCCACTTCAGTTTTGTAATGAGGTACCATGAACACAACAACTTTTTGTGATTTAACTTCAATACATTCCATTTTTAAGCCCACGTTTCCTGCTTATAACTGCTACATAATCTTTTCGGTATAAACATTCCTTCTTTTCAAACCGGACCCTTATTCGCCCCTTGGAATTGCCCCATTTGGTTGGTTCCAGGTCCGGTGCTAGGCTCGTTCCCTCTGCCGATCATCGAGCGCAGCATGACGACCACCTCCTCTCGTGCAAGTTCCACCCAACGCAGCTATGTGGGCGGACACGCTGGGCGGTCTTCGGCGTCGTTCGCATCTCGTCGCGCTAGCAGCGCACCGGGAAGTCGCACGACGGTCGCGTCGCAGTCGCGCGCAGGTGCGGCGCAAGCCGCTGCCATCTTGCTGCTCTCCTACTGTCCGTCCGCTAGCGGTGGGGATCGGGATGATCAGGAGAGGCAGCAGCTACCACGTTACGGTAGACACGGCACGCACGGAACATTGTTAATACAGAAACTGATCTAAAGGCAGAATTATTGATATTTGAGGAAAAATGTTAAAAAAGTTTATAGAATTCTGTAAAGGGTAAAACGTAAAACAGATTTATGATATGTGTGATTCAGAATTTTTGCTTCATTGGGGTTTGTTTCACCGTTTCAAGCATTGGTTTAAAAAGCAGTACAAATCGGGAATCGTAACCGGAATTTATGCAACTCGATAGAACACATGCCACAAAAATGCAAAAATTTGCTAACTATATCAACTTATTTTACCTTGTTTCTTTGGTAAAAGGGCGTAGTCGATTTGAATTCAAGTATTGTGTATGTTCGAAAAATTGAAAGCTATAGACTACTAATAAGTTCAACACTGAATATTGTGAAACATATTTGATATACTTTTCAAGTTGTTCGGCTTTAAGAGCAGTTCCACGTGTCATAAACTGACAATCACACACCATCTTACATTTCTTGTGATACTGGTTAAAAAGAGATTCAGCAATAACTCTTTTTACGACGAACTGAGCAAAATTTCTCATGTAGTGTTGAGGAATTAGCTCAATTGGAATTCTCAGTGAAAGTTAAAGCTGTCAAGGACCGACAAAAATGGAAACACAAAAGTTTTACCCGTGTTTCATTTACATACTTCTCTGCATAGAAGGGAACACTGAGGTTCTGTGGAATATCTTGTCCAAATGGGAATTCAAAATCATGCAAACAGGAACCTTCCATATTCAAGCAAAAGTTAGTTATCGGCAAAAAAGGTCTGTATGTCACGGACAGGTCTAAAAATGTCATAGACTGACATCTGACAGTTCTTACTGACGCAAAAACTAGCACCTGTGCGGGTCATAGCTTTCTGACATTATCGTGGTATTGCTCTTAATATATACTAGAAACATACAACATATTTGTTAGATCAAACAAAAAATTATCAGATGGACAATGAAAAAAGCACAGCTTAATATTACTATTAATAACACACATTATTTTGCCATTTAGATCAGTTTGAGTTACGAAGGCTGCTACAAGTAGTTTGATATTTTAGCTACAGGTTCAGATTGAACGTGAGCGTCTGTGGCTAAGGTCCTTTGTTTTCTGTGTGGCTGCGCTGACGTAATTTTTCATTTCTCTCAATTTCTAACACTCTTAACACACAAATAAATTTTTTAGGTGTAGACGAGTTTTGGTGTCTGTCTCTGCTCAGGATTTTGAGACAATCGATTTGAAAAATAAACAACCTACATGATTTGTTGCGTTTAGAAATTGTTCATATTTGTAATACAAAAACATAAAGCGAGCCTTAAAACATTCTCAAACAATTTTTCCCTGAGTTTTGAACTTACAGATGGAGAAAGCAAGATGGCTGAGGTGAAGTAGGCGTTCTTAGAGAAATTTACAAAAACTAGATAATTATTAGCTAAATATTTGATAGATTTTATACTACGTAGTTTCAAATAATACATATTTGTACATAAAAATTATAGCACCACTTTGAAATGCCTTTTTCAAATCTTTAGATTCACATATGTAGTTTCACTGTAGGTGAATACTCAATATATTCTTCAAGCATTGCTTTAAATGAACACACGACACATATCATTCATTGGCACAACAAGGGAATTGTAGCATAATTCACTCATAAACCCAGCTAAGTCAACGGCACGCTATATGCTAAATCAATTCTCATCACAACAAAAATGAAAAAAACAGAAGATATGTTGATTCCTTTGTGATAGGTGATTTTAATGTTGAAATATTAAGCATTTCTCCAATAGCAAGGGTGAATGACTGACGAATTAATTAAAACTTACAATAACAATTTTACTAATGAAAACCTTGTTATGCTATTGATTATGTAGAGGCTTGCTAGATACTATTTTTTTATATGATGTTGTGTGGCATGAACCGGTATCTGTTTCCCTTATGTTTTTGTATGTTTCGCTAAATGCTGATTTTGCATGGTAAATTATTGATAGCTATCGGAGCAAATGAAGGCTGTTGATCTTTGGATATTGATTTGTAAATAAGAGTATTATAGGATGATATTTAGTAGCGGTAAAACTTGCCCTTCAAAGTGTAAGCGCAAAAATTTCGCGTCAAGTCGTAACAGATTATAGTGTGATGTTATAAGTCGCTTCAAACCCTGTATTTAAAATATGACCCTATTTCTGCTATTGAGATTAAAGCCTCATATGCGGTATACACTTTTGTTTCTTGTAATTATCTAATCATTTTGAAATACTAAATCAATAAATAGTCAAGAAGCATCATGGATTCTTTGATTTAATCAAAATAGTAATTACCGTATTTGTAAAGAACGTAATAACCGTTGAACTCGTAGCGAACATAAAAGTTTGTGGTATTTTATGTTTGGTTTTAATTTGTAAAATAAATGTTTCATGTAACTGCCGATCTTCAACCTTGTTTTTCGAAACTCCCTAACTTTTAGACTTTTTGGACTTTTTTTCGGACAATAAAAAGCTTCTGCAGCCACTCTCGAGCAGAAAAGCTCGACATCACCGACCTGTCGGCCTTTTCTGTTCGAAGTGCGAGATTCTCTAGAATGCTTCATGCGATAAGCTTGCAACATTTCATTATGGTGGATAGATAGCGTTGCAATAAATATTCACACCAAAGGTCATCCTATTTTCATGGGTCTACATACTTATACAGGATGTTCAAAAAGCTCCTAACCCCGCGCTATCTCAGAACATGTCGACCGGAAAATAAATGACCAAATCAATCAAATTTTGTAGGAATACATTTGTGCAAGTAACCTTGAAGCTCTTGACATTGACCTTCAAGGTCATTTCAAGGTAAAATTGGTTTTCTTGAATGGGATTCTATACTTTTGACCCCGGAAATTATGCTAAAAGAAAAGGAAGTTTGGAAATGTGATTGATCATTACCTTGAACTTGGTTTAGGGGGTCATATCAAATTCAAAGCGACTTTCTTCATTGGAACTTTTGAGCCAGGAAAGTGAATGAAGGCAAAATTACAAATTTAGGTATAACCTTGAACTTGATGTTAATTCAAGGTCAAAGCGATGTCTTCAAATAGGAACCTTTACCATGGATCATAGAAAACGAAAGATGAGAAAATTTTAAGTTTGGATGCCCTTGACCAAGATCTTGTTATTGACCTTGGAGGTCATTCCAAGGTCAACCCTATTTTCTTGAATAGAGCCCTATACTTTTGACCTCGAAAGGGGGAAACTTTTAAGTTTGGATATGTTCTTGACCGTGAAATGGCAGGTCAAGGCCATATCCAAACTTAGAATGTTTGCCTCTCTAGTATTCCGGGATGAAGTATAATGGTCCCATTAAAAAAAAAAACAATTTGACCTCGACTTGACCTCCAAGGACATAACCAAGAACATGTTCATACTTAGTATCCCCTCTTATCTCAATTTTCGGGTTTAAAAGTATATGGTCATGTAAAAAATCAATTTAACCTTGGAATGACTTCCAAGGTCAAAATCAAGGTCATTGTAAAGATCACCATTAGATTGCTTAAGTAAAATCCTACGACTGTTGTCTTAGTCAATTTTGTCTCCGATCACTATTTTATGAGATGGGGGAGTTCGGTAACTGTTTGAACACGCGGTATGTACAATCGTACTTATATATACTGTGCGAATCATTCACGGTTGAGCGCGGCTGAGCTTGAATGTGTACGAGACAGAAGAGTGCATCACGTATGTTAGAAAGAGCTATAAAGAATGCTCCGTGACCTTCCTCGCTGTAGTTGGCAAGCTATGTGGTTATTACTTGCTGGCATACTCTTTCCAACTTTTTCTACTATACATGTTACATGCTTCTCCTGCTTCTCTCTCTCTCACACATACCCACATACACACACATTGAAGCCCGGCCGACCTCAACCGTAAATGATTGGCAGTGCAACTTGAGGTTAATATACTTGTCCCGCGTAAGCTTAGAGCTTCATTTATTACCAAAATATCTGCTATCTTTAACCTCAAAACTCCTTTTTCCGTCCCTCACAGGCAGCCGCAGGCCCAGCATCGCGTCAATACACAGCTCGACCTCAGTGAGGTCGTACAGTGCAAGGAGGTACGAGAGGGAACGAAGAGAGAAGGAAGAGCGGGAGCTCGAGAGGCGGTTCAAACTGGCGGCTAGCAGTGCAGGGTCAGTCAGTGGCGTTGGAGTGGGGCAACCATCGCCTAGCCCGCATTCGGTGGACGATTTGTTGCCTACTTTGGAGGAAGATAGGCAAGGCCGGGTTGAGGAGGTAAGTCCAAGTTTAATGTCTTTACGTTCAGTGTTTTCAGGTTGAGGTAACAGCCATACAAGTCTGGGTAAAAAAGCTAATAAGCTTTACATAAATCGATCGTCATCCGCTCAGACTTCTATTAAGGCATTAAGTTCATTGCAGATCTCGTCTAAATTGGTAGAGTACTGCATAAATACTCTCGAAGAGCTGAGAAACCCAAGGTAAGATTGCTCTTGGTGCCAGGTCACGAGCGGTGCAAAGGAAATGAGAAGGCGGTTGAGCTAGCCTGACAGGGTGCGGCAAATCTTCTTATAGGTTCAAAGTCTTTCTGTGGCGTGGAGAGAACATATATCAAACAATTCATAAGAAATTGGACTAAGAAAAAGTCCCTAGAATAGCGGAACAGCCAGTAAGGGCAAATGCAGACAAAATAGTTCATTAAAGAGCAAAACTTGCATTTACAGAGGACCTATTCCGACTAAATAGGGAGATACTCAAGTGCTATAGTGGGTCTCGTAACAGGACACTGTCGACTAAATCGACATACGAGGCACTTGTGTCTGGCAGAAGAGGCCACATGCCGTTTCTATAGAGAGTATGAGAAAACCCCAGTGCATATCTGGTGTCACTGCGAAGGCTGGGTAAGGCTTTGGTTTCACATATTAGGAATCACAACAACAACTGCAGAAAGCCAGATGCAAGGACCTTTATCAAGGCTATTGAGTATGACTGAAGGATCAAGGCCGAATATAGTGCTTTAGACTGTATGTGGGGCTCACAATACATCCATATGAGTTGCAATGGCGTTAAGGCTAGCAAGCCAACCCCTTTTCAGATATCCATATTTTCAGTGTTGCCGAACCTACCGATTTTTCGCTATTTCTACTGGAATGAGACCTTATTTACAGAAATACAGATAACGTCATTTTTTACGATTTTTAAATAATTCAATTCTGTCACCGAGAAAGAGTAGGGTACCAAAAATAAAACTGAAAAATGGTTTCTATGTAGTCTATGTAGTTTTATTGCCCCATGCCAGACATACATATGCGTACACTTAGGCAGTAGGGCATACGCGGGATGTAGGCTTGGGATGCCTATAATTATGTGCGCATACCCCCTGCTCGGCTTTCCCTAACTGTTTTTCTGTGTAAAAAAAGGTAGAGACTGGTACAAGGCGTCATTATCGCATCACCGGACAAGCAATAAGACAACCCTCGTCTGTTTTCAATTAAATATTTAATTAAAATGTCAGGTGATAAAGAGTCAAGTTCAGAGCTAAGACAGAAAAATATTCAAAATCTTATAAACAAGAATGGGAAAAGGAGTTTCCAGAATAGTTGCAACGAAGTTGTAAGAGCGCCCAGAATGCTCATGGTACAAGTTGTAGTGAAGAAGATAATATTTTCTTCTGGAAAGCCTTCGTTGTGTGTGCCCACGCAATCAAAATATACTTTTCTTTCATAGAGGACGCTGCGTGACGCAAAGCCCCTTGCCTCACAGCTGGTCTTGCGACGTTTCTATTTTGTACTTTAATCTATGAATTTCAGCGGCAATATCTTCCCATTTCGTCTTTTTCGGTTCGGCAACACTGTTTACACTACAGGCAGACTGGCAGGCTAGTGGTGCTAGCTCGAGAATTGGGAAGTTTTCTAATTGAATTAAGAAAAGGATGTATTTCAAACTTTCGTCAACATTTTTTTATTTTAGTCATAGCTCAAGGTCCGGAATTTTTTATTTTTTTGTCTGAAATTCAAACATTTTAGAATTTTACTTGATATATTTACACGAACGTAAGGTCGCATCACTTTTTGCATAATAAAACCCACTAACAAACAAAACATATATGAAATTAAAAGTTTTTTTATGGTGAGCGCAGTGGAGCGATACTAATGATCTATTCAAATCACTTTCACTTTACTTGTAGGTCCCGGGAACCAACATGGAAATATTGCATTAAGAAGCATTTGCGCTCAAAGTTGAAAAAGAAAACAAAAATCTCAGCTGATCAGCTGTGATATGTAAAACATTAATTCAAGGATGAGAATATCAGAGTCATCGTAGTTTCGTTCTTATTAGAGCTTGTCAGTAAGATCTAGGTCCAGGGTGTATCGGTATGCGACTCAATGCCTAAGCCTTGTGGACGGTCCTGCGTTTCCTCGTACAACATTTAAATCACACTTTCAAAGAACAGTAGTAAGGATTCATTATAATAATTGTTTGAGCGTTTCAATATATACCACAGAAACCTCTTAAAACAGCACACAGCTTACCAAACATCAAAAGATTTTTTCCATGTCCCAAAACCCGGTTCTTTTCATCCCTGTCCCTTTTAGTTTCTCGTGTTTTCCTTAATTAATTTAGTTTTCACAGAAATACTCATTCTTTTACAGACTAACTTGTCTTCCAGGACCGGTATACTGAATACCGCTTTCTCTAGAACAGGTTCAATAGTTATTTATATTCCCTTTTTCTATTAAGGAATAGTAGTCTAACATTTAGCTCATTTCCTGCTGATAACACCAACTCACAGATATAACTAACTAAACCACGTTAAAATCCAAGGTGGAGTGGATGTGAACAGTCATGCATTACGCGTGTAATATTCTGAAGCTTGGCATATGAGTAATGAAACTACGATAAATTTATGTACTTACTTTCAAACTTCACGAAATAGGCTTTCGAAGTATGGTGTTATCAGCAGTAAACATTTGAACAAAAAGTCTAGTAACATTACAAAGATCTGTACCCTTGACACGTGGCTGTAATTACGACTGTGGGATTGCGACTCCTTATGTAAAAATACGACTAAATATCTTAGATTACAATACTTGCAAAATTTTACAATTATGTTCATGGTTTTTGGCGGTGACGTCACAATGTCATATGGAATAAAGCAAGCAGATTGACAAAACGTGTTATAGGTGTTATAAGCAAGGCAAAATGCGCAAACCGATCTGCAGCACAGCTGCTACCCATTCTTGCACAAATTACGTTTCAATTAATTTTTTATAATATACAAACGATCGACATTGTCTACTAATTGTACTTCCAGACCTTACATTAACCTATAACGATGATCAAAAGGAGGCAAACTTAAATCGCACGCCAAGACAGTTGTCACACTGACAGCGTCAAACATAGTTCAGAACATTTATACTGCAGCACTCTTGTGAACTAGAAATTTGGGGTACTGATGAGACGACCTTGCATCATCGACGCATATACAACCAGAATTACGCGACCATGTCTGGAGCGCGTTTGCGTTCGACACTCATCGGGAAGCATCTACAGCCATCGAGAATCATTGAACGTTATCTAGTATTCCGTCTGGAATGCTCTGGATTGGTCGATTGAAATGAATATCCGCTACGACGCACAGTGGTCCAGAACACCTCAAATGCTAACAAAAAGTAAAAAATGATGCAATGGAAATGGATGGAATTTGTCATGTATTTGAAAGTTGATACTTGGAATAATTAGTTGGTTATGAAAACAAAACCTTGTTTACACTACCTTCGTTATGACAGATCGTCAAACTTGAAGTTTGCTTTAGGTAATTTGTTGTAATATTTTTTTGTGGTGAATTCGGTAATGTTCTACATTATCAACCGCGAGGTGCTTCGAAAGATCCAAGATATTCCAATATGGATTCTACCAAAGAAGCTAAGATATTTCATCAATAAATAATTGGCGTTCGCAGCACAAATGAAGTTAGGAGCAGATGGAAATGTAAAAGCTGCAAAATTACTCAAAGATTTATTGAACCTGTTCTTTCAGACATTTAATTTTTATGAAGCTTTTTACTAGTGCTATAATGATATATCGTATTTTCTAGTTTGCTTTGTTATAAATATAACTTTTCTGTGTTTTTTAAAGAATCCTTCTGATTCAGCAATCGCTATAATATTGTATCCTCGTATCAAACACCATGATATCAAATTATTTCAAGGATCCGACGCCATATTGGATATGCCATGTTGATTTTAAGTTTTTTGACCGCATATTTGAAATCAGCGACTTCAAGAACTTTTCTGTATCAAATCTCGTGAGGATGCTAGAGAAGTTATATTTTTTGCCAGGGTGTTCCACACTACTGTGCGACGGCAGATTTGAAATCAGCGACCTCAAGAACTTTTCTGTATCGAATCTCCTGAGGATGCTAGAGAAGTTATATTTTTTGCCAGGGTGTTCTAGACCACTGCGCGACGGCAGAATGGAGGAGTCGTGGATCAGTCAGCAATAGACCAAGACGTCCATGTCCAGTCCACATGGTTATAAATTTGTAATAAACTAGTTGCAAGCGTTATTATAAATTGCTGTCAGTATAATAGATTAGACTTATAATTATCGAGGTGGTGAAACAAAACTAAAAATGTATGTCGTTGAGTACTCACTAACGTCCATACTCAAAGATGACTTGTGTATGTATGAGGGAGATATGAAAGTGATACTGACAGTTTCACAGTGACCCGCCAAAAACCGTGAAAAAACTATACGTACTGTACTAGCTATTGGTTTAATCATATTAGACGAAAATACCCCTGTAAAGTATGGTTTTATAGATGCAAGTTGTTCAAGGGGGTATTTGAATCATGCACGCATAAAATGGGTACACCAATTTTTGTGGGAAAACTTTTTATTCGACAACAAAGAATGAGAAAACGTGTTTTTAGGATTCAATCGAAAGTGTTGGCGAAAAAACTCTTCCAGTAAGATTTTTAGGTATTTATGAGACCCACCGACTGAGACCACACAAAAGATCCGACTAATAACAAAAAGTTATGGCCTAAAACCGAGAAGAGATGCAGGTTTTCGCACTTGTTGGAAATGCGACGATAGTTTCACGCAGATACTTGAAATTCTCCAGATTTGTAGGCTTCATGATTCTAAATAACGGCAACAAAATTGGAGTCGATTGGTCAAGTAGTTTGGAGAATTTCTAATTGTTTATCCCCTTTGTTTTTCGCATAAAAATAACAATTATCTTTCAGAATGGTTTGTGATCCATGTCGGCAAGGTAAACTCATATATTTCGCTATAAAAGGTCCTTTGAATGAACTCTGTATATTGTTCAGTAAACTAGTAGTGATGGCCGGAAGACAGGTGTTTTGGGATAAATAATTAGAAATTCTCGAAAAATACTTGACCAACCGACTCCAATTTTGTTGCTGTTATTTAGAAGTATGAAGCTTACGGATTTATATAATTTCAAGTAGCTGCGTGAAATTATCGTGGCATTAGTAACAAGAGCCATAACCTGCATTTTGCCTCAGTCATCGGCCATAACTTTTTTACTATTAGTCGAATGTTTTTACGTGTGATCTCATTCTGAAGGTCTCATAAATACCTAAAAATCTTATATGAAGATTTTTTTGGTTCCTGAGCAAAAAATACGTTTTCTGATTCTTTGTTGACGAATAAAAAGTTTTACCACAAAAATTGGTGTACCTACCTACCCATTTTATGCGTCCATGTTTTAAATACCCCGTTGAACAACTTGCATCAATAAAACAAGACTTTACAATTATTTCGGGGAAATTCGCTAACATGAGTGGACTATATCCGCGGCTTGCATTAGCTGTGTGCCTTGCCTACCTAGAAATTACGTGGTGTCGGTGTCATCTGTCAACTTTGATTATCTAATGTTACTGGGCTATAATCATGTAATTATCGCGCTACCAGGCTTCAACCGGCACTGCAGAACGTACATATCATGAAAAATGTCCAGAAACTGTAATGACTCTTGAAATATGTACAACAATTGCTTTAATTTGAGCAGTTTAATTTTAATCTGTACCGCTGATAAATGCGCACGGTGCAAACGTTGCTACATATAATTTGTCAAACTGAAATTGGACGGTGAATATGCACTTATAAATGAGTATCATTTTTTGTTTTGCATCATGGAATTAATAATATACAGTATGTTACTATGAATAAATACTATACAACTGAAACGTCAAAGGGAGTGAAAATCACACACACTGTGTGAATTACATTAACTACAACATGGCTGAAATTGTTTGGTCTCCATCTCTGCGATCGTAACCAACCGGATACAATGGTGTCCCATGCTTGTTAGCAATCATCAGTACAGTATAGGTAAAGTCTTGAAGACAGACGACGAAAAGCAGAAAAGCGAATAGACAATAGATTAGAAGGAGCCAATTCTTTGTGTGTACATTGCATTTTTGTCGCCAACATTGCGTAGTTTTGGAGCACACTTTTGACTTATTTGACTACAAATGTCTACCAAAGTTACAGCGTTTTATCAACAAAATAATAACAGTTACCGGTGAAAATATCTCCCTCCGTCTTTGCAAATTATGTAAGAAGTATCATGCCTTGAAGTCGTCTAACACCACAATTATCTGCAAGCACTCGTACTTTTAAAAAATAGCACTAATATATGAATTTAATGACAGAACTGTAAAAAAGTTAACTTATGTCAAGTGCACTTGTACTATCCTTGACTGGTTCCTTCTACCTAGTCCGAATCCAACTGACACCTTATATTTCACAAAAACTTAATTCTAAATTTGACATCGTATTCGCTTTATTGTTTGAGCAGTATAGTGCTTGCGGTAACATACTGTATATCCAGCTCTCGGAATACCCTGTTACAGAGTTACTGCATAATTTGTAATACGTCAACTACGACGACAAACAACTTTCTGGTTCAGATATTTTGGTTCACTCAGACCATGATCATCCCTTCTTTTCTATGCGCGTTGATACTGATAACTCTGCTTTTGCAAGCTTCTTCAGCTAAGGATTTTTTGTAGCCAAGTTTTTTTGCCTTGCACAATGTACGGGGCGATTTAAAAAACCATGTACTTCCAGAAGAGACATCGAAAAGAAACACAGAAATATCCTGACCAGGAGCTTAAACACTCGCTCTAGTCTTTATAGACGATTAAAAGAACATTATTTTCTGGGCTTCTCAAAACGTCAGTCACTTTTTAATAAAAAAGATCGTATGAATAAAATTATTTTTAAGTAGATCACTTTGGTTTGAGTATCTGGACTAGAATCCTAAAATTGAGGTTTACCACTTTTTGGTCTTTTGGAAAAATATATGTACAGAAAACTTTCGTGCCATTTTTCAATATCTGTCTGTCTTAAATATGTCAGCTCTATGTTTTTAATCGCCTTGTACAAATAGTTTACATATTAGTATTTTATGCTTGACCTAAAATACTATAATCATCTCACAGTGCCCCTTTAGGTACTAAACCTTTCTTTGACGTTATTTTTTATAAAACGCTTTTTACAAAACTGCAAAGGATACGGGTAAAGATCGGACTTTTCCTCCAATAAATTGCAGGTATCAAGGAGAAACCGATACACTTGGCATGTTTATTGAATTTTGATGATTCCAAGCTGTTTGACCATGCATTTTGCAACACTGCTTTTAGCGCTGCCCACAATACTTCTCGTAATTTTTTAATATTAGAATCAACAAGCTTACAAATTAAGACTCACTTGTTTCGATAAGCAAGCCAAGTTTGAAGGTCTTGTTCTCAATAGTCGCTATTTCGTATTTCAATAATTCTCTTGTAGATATTATTGAACGTACTTTTCATTAACTTGATCAGCATAAAAGACCTATTTTTACTCACCTGCTTTCCCGGACATATTCGTCAGTCTAAGTAGGTCAGGAAATAGTTTTTTCCTATAATCTTGGTAACAGTAAATTCTACTAATGCTTAGATTATTATCCTAATGATAGGTTCAAATTGGCGTCGTGATGTGGCTGGAGCATTTGCCTCTATTTTGAATTAGTCATTTGATCGGAAACTCGAAGACTTTCTCCACGTGTCAGAATACAACGTTTTCATGTGTATATACCTCCATAAGCAATTATTTATAATCAAGAATACCATCGAAGAGTGATTTTTTTTACTGCGACGCGAAAGTATGGAAAATGTAATACTGAAATTACGCAGGGACAACATCGCCAACAGATAGATTGATGGGAGTGAGTGATTTGATCTTCGTAATGAAAATATCACAAATCATCAGAAAATTACATTTTCCTTACTTGCACGTGGTAGTTAAAAAATTGATTCAATTTAAAATGGTATTCCTGATCATAGATAATGATTATAAATTTATTTTCACGTCAAATAGTGTAAACGGTTCACGTGGACAATGTTCGTGGCGCGACTGTTTTGATACGAATTTTCCTTATACCTCAAGAACCACCAGGGTGGCTAGTCTTAATATTTATTTCCGTTTTATCAGAAATTTCGATTATCCGAAAGCACATGGGTCCACATTATTTCGGATAATCGGGGTTCTACTGTATATGTAACTGTATTCTCTCTCTCTAAAAATAAATTAATGAAGAATTCTATATTAAACAGTCTCTATTACTTTTTTACATAGGATCGATGGTTTTCGATCAGACTCGTTCATACAAATGGCGACAAATGCTCAGGCTTATCATGACGCAAATTTAAACTTATTATCAGGAAGCAACCATAACGGTAAAAAACGCAAAAAATCTTACTGCCGCCCAAATTGTAGGATTCCTTTAAACAAAATCTCCCTATTTTCTGGCCTAAGGAGCTACGTTTCTGAATGACCACCACCTGGAATCAAGTACCATTTTTCTACTTTTCAGGTTCCCCCGTTAGCAGCTAAAGAAGATTCAACCAGCAGTTTTCCCGAAGAGTTACCATCGACCTCTAAGCAGTATCCGTGACGAAGTGATCGTGTCAGAAAACGAACTTTAAAAAAATTGTTTTTATTTGTACCTACCCTTGTTGGCCTATTTTAGTAAGACGATCTTGCGCGCTCCAAGAATTAAAGGACTTGGGGCAATAAGGTAACCTAACCACATGTGAATACAAAAATACATTTCCATTTAAAAACGCCCGTGGCTTAGGTATCTATGTCCGAAGGTATGATTTTTTTGATATTACATGTCGCTATAATTTCTGAATAGCGTTTTTGAACTCTCACGATATCCCACAAATTATTACGACAATTATGGTCTCCAAGGACACCACAAAACAACTAAACGAGTTTCCGATTTTATTGTCAATAAATTTTGTAAGCTATGTGTACGCAGAATAATCTGTTACTCATGAAGCAGTCTTGTCAACTTCCTTTCGGGCATCTAATTTTATACAAATATTTTTTCAACAAAAAACATTCGTGCAGGTGCCACCGCGCCCATGCTTCTTGTTGAAATATTACTTAGCAACGTGTTTTTTCGATCTTTTTCGAAAAAATTAGATGCCCTTATGATAGTACGTATGAATATATCATTATTTCTATCAAGAACGACTTTTGTAGATCGCAAATAATTTTATTATGTGTCAATAATATGCAATTTTGTGATGAGTGGCCTATGCCTTTCTTGGTCAGGCTCAAAAAATGGAAAATAGGTCCCAGTCGATTTGTCTACAAACTCAGTATCATACATCCCTTGCCTTTTCGAACAAAAGTATCCATGGGACCAAAGCATTCCTACGATTAGTTTCTGAGAAATAGGCTGATGAAGATTGTCTGATTTGCAAAAAAGGTGATTGAGCAGATTGTGGTTCTTGGACCAAAAACTCGGCGAATCAGAGTATATTTTGTTAAAACACCTTCTAGAAAGGTGTTAGGAGGTGTCATATTGATCGTGACCATGATCCTTACAAGGTCAGTTTCAAAGCAAGCTGATTTACATGTGCTTGTGCTGGAATAGTTCCGGCAGGAATTGCTAGATAATTCAGAAAATTCAACAGGGCTCGAGAAGGGTGGAAACTACCCCCAACCCTACATAAATTATAGCAAAATTTATTGGCAACTTTCCCGACGACTCTGATTTTTATTTATTCAGCAGATCTTTTTCTTTACTCCATTTTTTGTTACCTATAAGAACATGCCGTCTCGGATAGTTTTCGAGAAAAAAATGAGTTGCATCATGAGGTTCCCAAGCGTCTTCTTAATTCTTTGAGTATAGTTAGCGAAAATAACCAAGTAACTTACCACTAACTGTCTCAGCGCTTCACCTGGTGTGTGAAAGTTTATTGAACGTATTAAAAAAAATCCACTTATAAATAATGAACAGCGCTCACCTGGTGTGTGAAAGTTTATTGAACATATTAAAAAGATCCACTTATAAATAGGGAACACAATTTTGATACATACATTGTTTTTCTTTTTAAAACCAACACTGCACTTTTTTTGTATTTAAAGAAGGTGTCCAAAATGTCGTCCTCCACTTTTCACACAAGCTTCATTACGACGAACCCGCTTCTTCTTACTCTAGGTCCTCGAAGTTATCCATTGATTACTTCAGCCGAATTAATTTTTTTTTTCGCGAAGTTGTGCTTCAGTTGTTATTAGACCAGCCTCATAAACCATCCCTTTAAGTTCACCCGAATTCAAGACATCCATCGGATTGAGGTCAGGAGATCTTGCTGGCCATTTTCGAGGATCAGGAGCATTTCGACCGATCCAGCGATTTGGATAATGTTCGTTCAAATACTGAATGATGCCTCTAAAAATGTGTGCTGGTGCCCCGTCATGAGGAGACCACAAATTCTGTCTCCGTTTTAAAAAAATCCGGATATTCAATGTTTTTGTGCAAAAACCACTGACATAATGTTAGTCTGCGAGGATAGTCTTCTAGTAACAAGGCCTGCTATCGTTGTTCAACATGGTAGGGATAAAGCAAATTTTCCCGTAGGCCTAATTCACGAGTGCTGATATCTGCATTGATTTCCACGATATTTAAAATTTGTTCCTCCTGCTGTACAGTAACCTGTCTTTCACGAGTGCAAATATTAGTGGGCTGAACACTTCTAGTATCTCGAAGTTGACGAAATCTGTCGCGATAAATTGGAGCTGCAAGATTTGAATTCTGACGAGCTTTACCGTAAACTAACAACATGTCGGCGAACTCTTGACTCGAGAACATTGTAAATATCACGACGACGTACGCGACCAAATACAAAACAACACGCCCGATGCCTGATAACTAACTACTGTTACCGTTTGCGATCGATTGCCGGTTCGATAAGAGTGATGAAACGCCGACGCGCTGTTGTCATGCATGTTTTAAATATTTAATTTAATGAAACTTACTTACTGACTACAAATTTTGGCTTCACTTAGAAAAACTCAATGCCATTAATTTGTTAATTACTCAATTTAAAAACGTTTTAGATTAGATTATAAACATTACTAAGATTGTGGTGATTGTGGTCGATATAAAGCACTTAAAGTTGTAAACTATAAAGCCATTTAGACAAAAATCTATTGACTTTTGGACCATGGGTCATATGAACTTTTTGACTTGTTTTGACCCCCCCCCTATTACCTATTCCAATAATGACTACCATAACATTTACACCCTGTATTACTTATGACAACTTTATTTAATACACACAATAATGCGAATCTTTCATAAAAGGTGTTCACATAACCACCATTTTCGGTCCTGTACAATATACAATACGGCACAAACATTTTTTAGAAATCTGCTTCGACATCACTTTTTTCTCGAAAACTATGTGAAATGGCGTGTGTTTATAAGATACAAAATATGAAGTAAATAAATGGACCTTTCAAATAAAATTCAGGGTCGTTGCGAAAGTTACGAAAAATTCTGATATAACCTATGTAGGTCTGGGGTTAGTTTTCATCTTTCTCGAACCCCTTCGGGTTTTTTGTCAAACACTAGGACCTCTATCAAAACATATGTGTTCTAGATTTCGTTCATATCTATCTATCGGTTCCAAAAATATCTAAAAAACGATGCACTTTTGCTTAGAGGTAAATCAGGTCCAGCCGACTTATATTGAGTCTAAGATTACGTGGTACTTCTATGCCCACGGAATATTGGGACACCTTGTAGTGAAACAGGGTATCTTAAATACGGTATTTGAATTTGTTCCAACTTGAAGCAAAAGGCGAGATAATTACTTTGCAGCAATAATTCATCCATCAAAATCATTGTGAAGTCTAAAAACTTTTGTGGAAAAAGACTGTTATAATATACGATAAATTCCATTAAAACGTTCTTTAGGCCATTTACATCCTACATCATTACCAAACTATAGTAAACTTATAATCGCTAAGAACATAACCTTGAACAAAGTTTATCAATCAAACAGCTTAGGACCTACATAGATCCCTATCCAAATTGGGATATTCACATAAATTTTGTCACAAAATTAAGATATCTACTACATAAACACAAAATTCATGTTAATATGCTAACATTACCTCAAATGGAAATAACAACGAGGGGTGCAGCATTACATCGATTACAAAAAATGATTCTGAAGAACATCTTTTTTTGTATTACATCAATTGTATTTATATTTCTATTAAATCATACTTACGGTTTGTGAAGGTAAAGCTATTAGACCATAATGATGATCCACGAAGCAACCCATACAAAATTATTGCGCCAAAACCAAATAAAATTATATTTTCCAGATGTCTCAGCTTTTTGGGCTCAAAATGTTACAATAGTTTGACTAAAGAGATAAAAAGACTTCAGTTTATTTAACAGAGTATTAAAAGTATGCGTGAAAGCGTTACTTATAAGGAAATATAAAAAGTTATTTACGGCTAGAAAAATACATTTATATTTCGACACAGAAATTATTTTTCTGCTGTTTAGAATTATAGAAAAGTGCATAAAATTATTCTTTTAATTTACTTCCTGTTACCTTAATGGGGTATCCACAAGGGCAATTATTTTTGTTGCCACGCTCAAGGCTTTGGCTTTTGTGGCTCATTTGTTTATTCATACAATAATATATATCTTTTTCAATATGTGATAGATATAATTATATATATATATATATATATATATATAACTTGAGACGGGTCATTGTCGTCTAGACCAGTTAGGTGAAAAATTAAAGCTTCCGCCTTTTGTTGGGTACTTCGACAAAATTTAAGCAAAGAGGACTCTTTATACTTTTTTTTAATTCTCTCTAGCTTTCAATGGACTTTGCCATCATCATCAGGAGAGTAGTATGTGAGGATGTTGCTAATTGTAGTTTACGTATAAAACAGATTAAAAATTATTTAAATAATTTTTAATCTGTGTTTAAGTTGTTCTTGTCATATTTTATATAATTTTGACCATTGTACAATCTATCCAGCTCTCACCATGTTACTGGACGTTTCCCTCATCCTATACGTAAACAACAATTAGCAACATCCTCACATACTACTCTCCTGATGATGATGGCAAAGTCCATTGAAAGCTAGAGAGAATTAAAAAAAGTATAAAGAGTCCTCTTTGCTTAAATTTTGTCGAAGTACCCAACAAAAGGCGGAAGCTTTAATTTTTCACCTATATATATGAATTCCTATTTCGCATGGTCACGCCATAACTTGAGAACAATACCGATTTCATTCGTCTTGGTTTTAAGAGTTTTCTAATACTGTATATAAATATAAATTGGGAAATCATTGAAAACTAATGGTTATTTGAGCTACGCGCCTTTGACAGTTCGCTTGAGCATGGAACGCGCACAGCAGAAGAAATATCTCAAGTACCAAAAGAGACGGGCATTCCTCTCCGCCATCTTTATTCCAACAGCTATTGACAATTAACTATGCGAGAGAAAATTGCTTATGAAAACACGGTGTTTTCGTTTTTGGTCTTTCATTCCTTTACCATCCGTGCTTTGTGATGGCCCCTTCAAAAGAAACTGCAGTGTTGCTTAATTGTTATCTTTGTCAGTTAACTCTATGAATAAAAATGGCGGATGAAAATACATTTCTTTTGCTTAATTGACTTTCACTACTCTATCATTTTGAACTTAACAGCTCGCACGCCACAAATTTATATTATCGTTTAACAGTGTTTGTTGGTGAAGAAACATTTTTAGTAGTGCACAGTCCATTCGATTAGAGCTTTTATCCAGTTTTCAGTTTGTACATTGAGTTTTTTGAGAAGTATTTGTTGAAAAACAATTAACAAGGGTGGAAGTTAGTTCACCGCAATCACGCCTTATATTAAAATTGTGATATTTCAAAATGCCACCGATTAGACGTATCAACCTAAGTCACAGAAGTCGCAATGCTGCGAGTTAAAGATATATACCAAGAAGTCAAACTGAGAAGCAACAAGAAGCGAGAAATGAAGATGGGCAAGATCGAAGGACTGAAATTCAACAACGTAGAAGTGCCGCATTTAATTCCAATCGAGAATCGATCTGTATTCAATTATGACGAGGCAATCGATTACAGTTCACAACATTAATTGATATTGGACCAATGATCGTTGTGTGTCTACATTTCAAGGTTTTCAATTTTAAAAATGAAGCCCCTGGATGCCCAGTGGAAAAGTCAAATTGACTCCATTGGTACCACCACCAAAGCCACTACAATAATTCGTTTACGGAAATGGGCCAGAGTCTATACATTTTTAGACTCATATCCAGCAATACAATAATTGCTTTCAAATAACGTCATTTGTCGAAACAAAATTCGGTCCACATATTTTTATGCCTACTTTCAAGGTAAGTTGATGGGGGAATGGCAGTGCTGCCATCGTATTTTGCTAGCCACATTTATTTACCCTTTCATTATTTATTACTCATCCCAGTTCATAGCTATGACAGGACAACGTCTGTCGGGTGAGCTAGTGATAAATAAATAATTGAATATTGTAGCATTTCAGTCGAAATTAAGTAAGACACGTGATTCCAGGATCTACATAAAAGTGATAACTTTGGATTTCTGGAAATAAGGTCAATGTGGCTTAGGTACCTTGTTGCCCCAAGCCCTTCAATTCATGTTCGAACTTCAAGAAATCCGTAAGGGTTGGATACATAGAAGCTACAACTATCCTATTTTTCCCAAGTAACAAGGCAAATAAAGCGTTGTATCAATAAGGGGTCCTTAAGAGACCACTACGCTTTCGTCCCTTAAGTGCTTTTAGCACGAAGCCCTTCACCTCAAGGTCAAGTTCGAAGGTGCGCGTCAGATCTATGAATGTGCATTGAATGTTGTTTGTAAACTTTACTAAAATGATTTAACAACGTTAATATAGACATTTACACGTAGGATAAGTAATAAATAGAAAATTATTATCGTGATTTTATTTATACCTCAACCCTTTCTGATGACACTGCACTAATATAATGTATATCATATTCTTTTAAATCCAGTCTTGTCCCTTTCCGGAACTCTAGGCGCTTTGTCCAGGCATCCTGGGATCCGGCTCCCCTGCGTGCTATCTGTTACCAGAATCGAGTACTGCGAGCTTATATAGCAGCTATCCGGTTGGAACTGTAAATATGATGGGCAGCTGTCCGACGCTTTTTTACAGCTCATCAGCATCGTGTAGGTTTGCTCTCTTGGTTAACGAACGGAAGCACAACAACTCTCCTCCATCCGACTTGTGAGATCTATTGAAGTAAGACAGCATGCCGCGCCTATACCGCTAAAATCATGATCCTTTAGCTGTCACAGTTTTGACTGGGCTATCAAACTCGAATTGAGATTTTTCAGTTCCAAACGATAGCAGTGATCGATTTTGATAAGAGATGGTGTTTTGTGCTGCTATTGCGATATATCTCACATCTCGATTGGTGGATAGTTAGTGTGCTTTAATTTGTTGTCCCAGAAACCAAGCCTAGACCATGCTGATGAGTGGCAAAAAGCGCGGGACAGCCGTCCAGGCTGTCTGTGGTCGGACGAAGCAGCATGCCTAATGGTAAAATAACATAAAAACAACGAATCATCCAATTATACTTACAGTAAGCACCCATTTATTTATTAGTGTTCAGATACTCAATTTTCAGGATACACACTCGATTCTTTCAGTACAATTCTAGAACATCTTGGATATATTAGATTCATGGTTAATTCATATTTTTTACCAAAGATGTTAAATATAATTCATTACTCCTCCAAAGTTTCCAATTGCTCAGGAATGAGTTCATAATGAATAGATCTTCTGACTCTTCTGATGCACAGATTGCTTCCCTTGGCCTCCTTGATAAACCCAGGATTGCAGATGCAGAAGTTAGGAGCAGAGCATACACCATTTGGACATCCGCTTGGACAATGGGCCACGCATTTCTCGTTTTTGGTCACTCCAGGGGCTGGAACGTATCCTGGATCAAAAAGAAAATGTTAGCCTGAAGCGTCTTGAAATTCGATGGATAATAGCGCAAAGTTTGATTAATCGTGTCTTGTGTATAGTAAACCACATTGCTTTTATGTTTATACCTTTTTGCAAATGTAGTAACATAGCAATGTTAGAGTCGGTATTGAACAATGTTTTACAGAAATCTGTTTGTGAACTTAGCGGTAAAATTGGGTGACACTTCACTCGAGAAATACTATTTTCCTACAGTTCTGATCACAACATTAAAAATGCCAGTGAACCTCACTTATTTGCATGGAACTGCAGACATGGTTTCCGGTACCAGCCATCAATGGGAGACTTACTAGCTCAAGCTTTCAATATTCCTTTCCTACTTAGGCAAACTATGGCCTCCCAGAGAAGTTTCACAGATGGAAGGCTGACTTCCTCTATGGGGGTTTTCCTCTCCCTTCCACAATGTCAACGCTGGTGTTCCACAAGGTTTTGTCTCCAATATTGATTCATATCAGCGATCTCGTGTCCTGTACGATAAACCCGATGCACAGCTTTGCTGACGACAGAATTGTACATGCAGGAATTCAGAGTGCCAAGCCGACCTTTGCTGGTGAGCTGGAGATAAGACTAGCAGCGACTTCTTCTTTGACGAGATAGTAATATATTTTGACTAACCAGAGGCACCCTAGCGGTCATCCGGTTTCGATGGATAGTCGAGTTCTAGCAAAGAACCGTTCTTTTCGGTTATTTGGAGTCCGGACCACCAAGGACTTGATCTGGGAGGGACATATCTTGCCAATCGCGGCAGTCACCGGGAAAAAGATAGGGCATTTGTCTGCACTACGTCCAGATAAGACCTAACCTCGAGTACTGCTCACATGTTTGGGGTGCTGTCGCCTCGATTATACAGGGTGCGGCAGAGAGGACGGACGTTTTTGGGATGGGTAGTACTCTCCGCCTCCGTCTACGAGAGAGGTGGGGAGGGTGCCGTTTGACTCGTGAGATCCTGGCATTATTTTACCAGTTGTCGTTATGGAGCCTTGGACGGTGGAGCACCGCGTTTTCGCCTATGATTGTTTCGTCCAAAATAATGAGTCAGTCATCGTCGTACAGCGTGAGTTTCGTCGCCACTTCAACATTCATCGGAATAGAGCTGTTCCCTCTCGAAACACCATCCTTCGTTGGGTTGAATCACTTCGCAGGCGTGGTGAACTGATTAACAGAAGACCAAGAGGAGCGCCGCGAACAGTTAGAACTCCTGAAAATGTTGAACGCGTTCGACAGGTCTTTCTTCGCAGTCCGACTCGATCTGCCCGGAAACATGCTGCTGCACTTCGCCTTAGTGATCGTTCGGTAAGGCGAATTTTGCAAATGGATCTCCGCTTTCACCCCTACAAATTGGCCATTGTGCAACAGTTACAGCCCGGAGATTATGCACAACGAATGAACTTCGCACGTGAGATGGAAGCATTGATCGATCAAAATGAGAACCTCATTTTTTTATGAGTGACAAAGTCCACTTTCACAAGCCACAAGCCCCGAACTCTGGACGAATTGAAGAGCGAAATTCGCGTGGAAGTCGCCCAAGTTGAGAGAGCGATGTTAGAGAGAGTTTACGCGAACTTCCAAGAACGCCTCCAGCACTGCATCAACGATTTCGGCCACCACATGCCTGATGTGATTTTCCGCACTTGACTGTCTCAAATGCTATTTCCTTGTGAATCTGATTCCATCAATAAATTTGTTTTCGAGTAAAAATTAACTATTTTATGATTTTTTAAAACCGTCCATCCTCTCTGCCGCACCCTGTATTATCTATGCTCGATGTTATTCAGAAGAGAACTGTGCGACTCATCGATGACTCTTCTTTAACTGACAGTGTTGGGTCCCTTTCGCACCGACGGACTGTCGGCGATCTGGCTCTCTTCTACCGCTCCTGTCAATAGGCTTTGCTTCTCAGAGCTTTCCTCGGGATGAGCCTCCAGACATGCCCGTATGACTCCTATTCTAAACGTGTCGAACTGTTTGGAACATTCTACCTGGGCATGCTTTTTCTAGTTCTACTAACTCTAGGCAGTTCAAAAATCGGATAAACAAAGTGTTTTTAAGCTCCTTATAACAGCCGCGGCGTTCTGGTATTCCGAATTATGATTACCCGGCTGCTCCATAAAAAATAATATTACGCGATACGACTCTACTACTACTACCGTATTAGTTATATCGAATTGAATTATCTCAGGCGCGCTATTATCAAAGTTTAACCGAATATTTCTTATTTATTCTATTTGAGAGTATGATTAAGGGGTTTTAAGACGAAAAAACATTCGGCTTGCCTGTTGAGAAGCAATTTTAGAGTCTGTAATCATGAATACCAACCACATCCGAAGCTCAGAGAAATGAACTGGTAGGTGTAAAATGTTTCTAGGTTGCTCTGGTTTCACCCATGATAAATGGTTAATTCTGTACTTCCCATGCGACGCCGTTATCAGCTCATAAAGGATCATGTTCACACACTAGTTATTTTGAGAAAACAAATTCAGTCAAACAGATCCTTACAATCAGGTCATAGACATTATTTTCCTGCCACACTGGATACTTAACTCGAATAGCGCGGTTAGAGGTTAGAAAACACTATGCTGTGACGCGGCAGAAATACGTCTAATACCGTACCAGAACAACAGCAGCCATCTGCCGAGAATAGCTTTAAGTGCTTATGTACAGAGAAACCTATGTGTGAAGTATGTCTAACAGGTGCATAGAAATATTAAGGTTGGGAGCGTATGAATGTACTAACATCAAAAAATTGAGATAAAACCTCCCTCACAATCCCCACTTCCGAGGTTTTGTACCTCTAATTTTTTTTCAAAAACGTCAAAAGACAAAGTTTGAGCGATTTTAATTTTTTCGTTTTAGGACTTTTACTCTGCCTCCACTTGCCCGATTTTCAAAAACTACAAAGCTTTGCATTCTTGGCGAAGTGATAATATTGAGGTAAAATTTTAGCGAAACCCGTGCGGTACTTCTCAAGTTATAGGCGGTTATAAACTAAGCGGACAGACCGACAGACAACCCGACGGAAATGAGTTGAATGTTTTTCCAGGAGGCGCATGTCATCCAAGCATCCAAAAAAAATATCTCATTTTCGCGATTACAATACTTTCCTGTCAGTAGGCGTGGGAAGTGAAAAGAATAGACACAACAGACTTTCATTCGTATGAAGTCAAATGTATTCCTGAATTTGTATAATAAATATATTTCAATGAAAAACCATGGGATTTGTTGTTCTTCTCGTCTCCTGATGATTAAATCTAGACTTACCCAGAGGTATTCTCAGAATTCTGTTTTATTCAGGGAAGTTCATTATTTGGATATTTTTTCGAATCACAAACTCAAACCACTTGCTTACAAAAAAAACTACACTAGAAAATATTTCCGAATATGAACTTAACTCTAACTAAGACACTAGAGATACTATAGTAAGCAAAAAGTGTCACCAATATGACTCTGTAGTTCCCACGCAACGATGTCATCAGTTTGTATAGGATTATGTTTGACACAAGTGAAAAAGGTGTATAAGTACATGAATAACAAAAAATTGAATGACCTTCCTCCTCTCTGGGAGAAACCCCTTCAGGTGCACATGATCGTTGAGATGACCAATCCTGAGTGAATAGCGATATTGGCCTTCACCATGTAAAGTGCACACAGCCCGCAGCATTGTGGAAATATGTCAAATAGGTGCATAAAATTACTGGGGTTGGAGATCGTATAAAAAAACCAACGTACAAAATTGAGATATACAATACCCCACTCCTTGCAGCCAATTCTAAGCCCCTACAAATTGCTTTCCTAAAATGATTAGGATCCTTTGAACTTGAGCGATTTCTATTTTTTCCTTCGCCGCCACTGGATCGATTTTCAAAAACTATTGACCGTCAGACCGTCAGTGAGACAAACGGAAATGAGTGATATGATTTTTCGTGATGTACAAACTACACTGACTGAACTTTGACAAAATGACTATTACAAATAGAGTAGCACACTTCTTGTTAAAGTATAGTATATAGTACAGACAGACAGACTGACGGAAATGACTGACATAGTTTCTCGTCATGTCGATACATGACATTTAATATCTAAAAAATCAATATATCATTTTCGTATTTTTTCGCGATAACAATAATTCCCCGACAGTGGAAGTAAAAACGGACAACACAATTTTCCGTTATATGCCATTTTTGCCCAAATTGAAACAGATACAGCATTTATATGTTACATTAGAAAAAAGATAGACTTCTTGTTGTGTTAAGTTGTCCTTAGTTGAGCATTTTGTAATTTTTTACCCGCACACAAGGTTTATCCTTCTGCGGGTTCTTCATTTATTTGTCCTCGATATACATTTTTTATGTGTAGTGTATGTGTATTTTGAATACAAGTAAATGTTATTATTTATTATAAAATTTGATGGGATAACTCAGATATAATCAATACATAGCTATTTCCCCTGATGTCTACCGTCGATTCACAGAGTTACACCCAAATCGTATAAATAAAAATAAAACTATATAAATTAAATAAAGATCAAATTAGAAACCCAGTAACGATGACATAAAATGCTTAAGTTTACACAAAGCTTTTTGTTTAATGAACTCTACCATCTGGTAAATCATAAACCTGAATGATCGTATACGGGGTGTTAGGGAAATAATACTCGTAACTTTAAGAGCTGATTACTTGCATTATTCTAAGCAAAAAAGTTCATTATAACTTATGTCCAAAAATCAATCGTTTTCGACGAAAGTGAGTCGCACGACGACCGCAATTAATTCATCGAATTGTTTACGTTTCTATGATATTCCTGTTGAAAATGTGCCTTGAATTATTGAATATTTTTACGCAATTTTTTGTGGCTAATATTTTTTTATTTAATAATGCTTTCACTACAGTACATTTTCTTAAAAAAAAATGACAGAGCCGGTACGTGGCGATACACACCACCAATCACCACGATTA